GTGTGGATGCCCATGGAGTGTGGGTCAAACAGGCTGGCCAGGGGCCCACCCTATGCCAGCAGCTCATCCCATCTGGCACCATGATGGAAACACTGGCTGGATGGGGTGCCAATAGGCCATGAGGTTGCCCACTGCTTCAAACACTCAGGGCCAAATGAAAGAACAGAAAATGCAGATAGATGAGATGCATGCTTCTGTCACTGTGTTAAAGGTAACTTCTCCCACAGGTTTTCTGTGCCTGCCTGCAACTGAGGTCCCAGCTCATGGATGCTGGGAAGCGTCCACACCTCTCCTGGGGTGGGGAGCTGACGCGTTTTATAGCTGGTTTGCTATAGAGTTCTGAACTCACTTTGCCGGCCTTCCTTCCACACGGTCCTTCCTTTGTAATTTTGTTAGTAAACTGGTAGCAGCATTTCACAAAAGAAGGAGAATTTTGAGGGAAGGGCTTAGAGAGACCTAAGACCCCCGCCCCTCCCTTCTGCCTCAGCTGGGCTCCAAACCACTGGAGGCTTCCAGACCTGGCCACCCTCCTGCTAACTGCAAGGTGGGAATGCACTTAGAGGCTGAGGGGCCAATCAGTCTAAGCAAACATAAGGCAGAATGTTCAATCGCCCGTCGTCACCGTGCGGATCAAGCGATATGCACTGCGTCCAGTCATACCAGTTACCCTGTGTGTCCAGACAACCATTCACCCCTGGCCACTGGTGGGCTTGGATTCTGTCCAGATCGTTCTGCGTGACCTGGCGGCTTAGCCCCGGGAGGTCAGTGAATGGGCCTGGAGGCAGCAGCACGTGTGGCGTCCTGGCCCCACGCCGGGTGCTCTCCTCCTGTTTCAGGTACTCAGACATGAAGTGGTGGGCCCCTGGGGTTTGTGCGCCCGAAGATGAGAGCAAGCTGCTCTGCCGGCTTAGGTAGGACTGAATGATCTCATTGCGTGACAGCTCCTTCCAGTTCGTCTGCTCAAAGGGGCTTTGGAGGCTGGTCTTGGCCTCAGGTTTGTCCAGCTCTGTCCTGGGTTGCTCCATGTGCACAGGGCTGTCGGCCCGCACTGGCTCTTTCTGGGTCAGAGGTTTGATCTGTCTTGTCATGGGGTCAAAGGTGAGCTTTCGCTCTTTTAACCGCACAGGCTTGACGCCTGCCTCGGCCACTTGGCCACCCAAGTTCACCGTGTAGTCACGAGGCTGTTTCCTCTTCTTTTTGCTGTCTGAACCACCAGAGGAGGCTGCATCACTGTCCGCCCTGGAGGAGTCTGGGGAGAAGCCAGCCCGGGGTAGGATGGACTCAGCTGGTGACAGCCCTGCCTTGCAGACCGACCCTGCCAGTCGCTGGTGGCCCTCAGGCTGCTCTAGCCAGTGCACTGGGCTCTCAGCACTGGGCAACAGCTCTAGCCGCCGCACAGGGGGTGTGGATGGCTGGGCAAGTGGCAGTGGTGATGGCACCTGCGTGACATCGAGCGACTGGGGCCGAGGCAAGGGACTGGGTACAGAGCCCTTGGGTGAGTATGGGCTCCGCTGCCGGGCAAAGGAGCCCTCGTGCCGTGAGTTCCGGGGACTGAAGGAGCAACGAGGCGGCCCTTTGGGGTGTGGAGGTCCCGAGGTCTCGTCCGCCCTGTCCAGCTGCTGTAGCACTGCAGCCTTGCTTTGCAAGCAGGGCCCAGAGGGCTTGCCCAGACTTGGGGAGCTGGTGTGCGGCCTCACAGCATTGATGGGGATCTTGATGCTGTGCTTGTCATTCTCGCCCTGCTCCAGGCAGCTGCCCTCAGGGCCCACGTGCCTGCCACTGTCCAGGGGACCTGGGAAGCTCTCGGGGCTCCCACCTATCCCATTGGTGGGGAGAGGTGATGAGTTGGGAACCAGGGAGTCATGGCTTACTTTGGAGACCTTGGGCGGTGGTCCAGGATGGCCAAGGTCACGCTGGTCCCCCCGGCGCTTGCGACTGCTCAGCCTGTCCAGCCGCAGCCCAGGCAGTCTCTGGATGTCATTGC